AAACTAATGATGTAATGTATGGGGATTAACATAAGAATAAAAAAAACTAAAAAAAAAAAATCAATCTTTTAGAAAACAAAAATCAAACTTTATTGTTTTTAAACTAAAACCGGATAAAAATAAAAGTATTGGCCAATTTATATAAATGAATTTCAGTATTTGTGCTATTTTCCAGGTTCTAAAATCTCTTAAATGTCTTGAACATTTTAATTATAACAAAAACACCAACAGAGAATTAAAAATCTATCTTTGTATTTGCTATTTGACAATACCCTGATATCATTGAGATTTAAGCATCTGTTTTAAAAGTTGCTTACCTCACTACCATTTTCTACAGTATGTATAAGATAGAAAATGTGGCTGGACACATTATGTCTCTTAGGCTTTGTGCCTCAGAAGTTAGGGTTGGGCCAATCAAAAATATACTTCAGAAGAAACTCACCTTGGTGGAAAAGGAGAAAAGAAGTATTTTATCTTTGTTTTTCCTGCAATGGTTTAAAAGCTGCTGAAGGACCTGGAAATGAACCACAGAAATCAACCACCAGTGAACCAGTTCCAACTAAAAGCACACTTTATACATATAAACATCACTTGAGAATTTCTTAAAAATTATTTTTATACAACATAACCTCAGTCCTCTTTCCTAATTCCCTTGATTTTTGCCAACTTAGAGAAATAAAGTATTAGATATTACATGAGATGTTATTCATCATCATACTGTCAATAATGAGGTAAGGTTCCCAAAGACTTTTGTTTCATCTCATCTGGTTTTAATAAAAAGGAAGCATTTTAGATTATGGGATGCATTTAAATGAATTAATTTAATTTCTAAAACACACTTTCTTTATACCTACAATATGTTCAGAAACTAAATTACAGAACAGCATTCCTTTTAGGAAGTATTTAAGTTTTTTCTAGATAGATATAATGAAATGTGTTTAATTACATCTAGGTTCTAAAAGTCTTGATATTTATTTTCTTAAAATAATCAGTCACATATACACCTCTTCTCATTTTATCCCCTCTGCTTCTCTATTTACAGTAAGCCCTGACTTCCAGATTTGATTTTGACCTCAAAATGTCAATAATTTGCCCCCATACACAGTGCTTTTAGGGAGGAAGCAAATAATCAAAAGCCTATTTATAATAGTAATACTGTTATTTTTAAAACAGGCATTTCCACATCTGGCAATGACAGTTCCAGAACACTGTGGAAAAGTAATCCACAAAGGAAAGAAAAGGAATTTTCTGAACTAAGCCTAAAATTTTTCTGAATTATGCAATAAACACTTCAGCAATTTTGTTTATTCACTGATAAGCATTTAAACTTAAATAAAAAATTGTAAGAAATATAAGACACTTTCAATAGTTGACTAAGAGGACAATGCTAACACTGACCCCCGCCATCCAATCCCTCAGAAAAATCCATGGGGTTAAAAAAAAAAGCTACTCAGATAACCAATCAAATGGTGAATAAAAATGTCACAGATCAGGTAAACCTAATTTTAATACTTGCACAACTTATAAAGTAAGCTCTGCATTTATTTGCAAAATAAGTTTTGTATTTGCTTTATTTTTTAATAAAATAACTGATTCTATATAAAGTATGTGCATTTGAATTTCACATAATACATTAATTTTTTAAAATTAAAAGACTTTATTTTTTAGAGCAACTTTGGATTTACAGAAGAATAGAGTAGAATATACAGAGAACTCCCACAGACCCCCTCTCCTCCATCTTGCACTTCTGCCCCTCCCCTGCATGCAGCTTTCCCTATTAACATTTTGCATTAGGGTGGTACATTTGTAAAACAGATTAATGAATAAATTATTATTAATAATACATTATCATTAACTATTATTATTAAATTATTAACTATTATTATTAACTAAAGTCTGTTTATATTACTTACATTAGGGTTAATTCACTGTATTGTACATTCCATGAATTTTTATAAACATGACATATACATGACATATGATATGTATTCACCATTACAGTATTATACGGAATAATTTCACTACCCTAAAAATTCCCTGTGCTCCATCTATGCGTCCCTCCTTGCAAACCCCTGGCAACCATTTATCATTTTACTTTCTCTAGAGTTTTGCATTTTCCAGAATGTCATATAGTTGGAATCATACAGTATGTAGCCTTTTAGACTGGCTTCTTCCACTTAGCAATATGCAATTAAAGTGCCTCGAGTCTTTTTTGTAGCTTGATAGCTCCTTTCTTTCTATTACTGAATAGTATTCTATTGTCTGAATGTACCACTATTTATCTATTCACCTACTGAAGGACATCTTGGTTGCTTCCAAGTTTTGGCAGTTATAAATAAGATTGCTATAAATATCTGTGTACAGGCTCTTGTGTGAATATAAATTTTTAACTCATTTGGGTAAATACCAAGGAGTGTTGTAAATAACAATTCACAGCTAAGAAATCTTGGGCCTAACTTTTCTCAAATTAGTCAGGCCTAGAGATGAACATGACCCCTATATGATCCCAACAGCACTAAATTGGGTTTCCTAAGTCTTTTTCCCCACCCCCCACAGTAAGTGGCTCTGTGGTATTTCCCAAGGGAAGGGAAAATGAAGATTCTTATCAGGGGAGTAAGTTCAACTTGTGACCATCCACTTGAATAGTAGTTGAGATCACAAAAGACCTTCACATATAAAAGAAAAAGGTTGAGTTCATGAGTGTAGTTTTGAGGGTATGAAGGGTACAATGAGCATTACATCAACAAATAAATTACAGCTGCAAGCTGACCTATAATAAGAGAAGCACAACTAGCATCTTTTATCACCTGAATTCAAGATATACATGCAACTTGGATTTCTTAACTCTCCCCATAGGCAACAGATTATATGCCTATACATTCTATATCACTAAATTACCAGATGATGTTGATAATCAAATGATGAAACATAATCTTAAAAATATAACCCTAGGTTATTACTATCAGTCTCTGTCTTGCTGGTGTTCTCTCACAAAACAAATAAACTACAGGCTTCTTTCACATATACAAACACCTACCCAGCCTCCAGCAACAATTCATGCTTGCTTTTTCCCTTCTAAAAATCATAACAAAAAATAAATGTAATAATTATTTTAATCAGACATTGTTATTCCTAGATATATAACTCCAATAGTACATTTTAAATCATATGTTGAGTATACAAGAATATAAAATATAGAGTTATAAAATTCCATTTAATATTAAGAGTAACTTTTTAGTGAAGAATCATAATGAATGCAATTTAAATATATAACATAAGATAATACAGTTTTCACAGGAGGCCATGGTTTCTGGCCTGGGAAATAAGTGCTCAGTTCTAAATTAATTGAGCTTTTTATATTGTTTTATTTAAAAATAAATAAAAGTCA